TATTTTTTTTCCATCCTGTAAGCTTTCGTGGTTATTGATTGTCACAAATTACAGGCTTCTCACAACGCAATGGTATGAGTTCTTTTTATTTTCTCCATATTTAGGAACGGCCACAGTATTAGAGTATGGAAAAAAAATAAAAGAAAGGAGCTGCCCTAATTACGGAATGAACGTGCATACCTAAACAAAAATTTAACGAACAAATGGCGGATTTCTTTAGTGTCGTACCATAATCTATCGATAAGTCATTATCGACATGCAAACATTTAATTAATGTCGATCAATATTCCATATGGGAATATTTTAGGTTATTATGAGAATATCCGGGAATGTCACATGAAATTTTGAATTCATTGTTTTGCGCTTACAAATACTCAAATATTACGAAAAGTGAATTTGCACAGAAAAAAATAATATTTGTAATTTGAGAGTATAAAAAAACCCGAAAAATTTAAAACATAAATCCTACACATTAACAACCTCTATCTAATCTTATCTATCTTATCAAATATCTAAGGTTCTTATTTTCGTAGAGAAATTTTTAAACAGATTCCGTATAGTGCTTTTTTGTATATATGCGTTAGTATAGAATTAATATCAGTGACTGATTTAAGTGAATCTTTAATAGTTCCATTTAATTTTAGAAATAAATGAAAATAGTAATATTATCAATAATAATATTATTATCATACGTTTATTTGCTTAAACCATGGTATAACAGGAGATGTAATAAGAAACAGTGTTAGTATAAACATGTTTCGCATATATTAAATAGCATGCAAATGTGTGATTACACGATGTCAATTGACTACTATTGGCCGAGCGCCTTTGATTTGTGCAGAAAAATCGACACTTCTCCGAAGTCAGACAAGTAGTCACGAGCGACTGCGAGTTACTCGTATATATAGCTATACACGTTAGCGCTCGCCTTCACTCGATCAGCTAGGCGAATGACACCGAACGATGGCAAGGCAAATAGGCTGTCTATACGTTGCTATTGGCCTTACCAGGCAACGTTAGACCAACATGGTGTTTGTATTGCTGGCTTTATAAAATAAGAGTTTTTAGTAGTTAGAGTTGTTAGTGAGAAAAAATCGGAAACGAGTGGATAATTTTGTTTTCAGGGACTGAGAATGCCTAGTAAATGAGTCGTGTTTAATCTAAATTAAATATAAAATTATTCACCAATAAGCCTAATGATGGGATTACATTAACATGTAATCTAGTTACATTCAAAGTTATGTTAAAATTTCATTCTTCAAAATGAAGCGAATAAATGAAGATGATCTTTGATTCAATGTATGATTTCCAACCATTCTATTTTCTTTTTTGATTTGTAGGTAAACTTGAAATAGCAAAAACAACAATAATAAAATAATAAAAACCTCGTAGTTAATTATTTTAATAACAGAATATCGATAATATGTGCGCTTCCAAGAACAACACTATCTCAAAATAATCGTTAACAACAATCATCAAAATATACAAACAAACAGGCAATCTGAAGAAACCAAAGCAAAACTTGGCAAGATTTATGAATAAACCACTTAAATATGTCTAACTACATGAGATATCAGGGCTTTTGTGTGATTTATAGACAGAAAAATAACACGTGCCTGTACAATGTTACATTTGGTCGATCTTCGCTTTTTCAAATGCCACATCCCATAATGCTGCAGCAACGAATTTCTATTAATACTTAATTGTTCTCACTGTCAATATTTTTGTCCATTTTATTACAATACGTATACGAATAATTCAATAAAACACTTGGAAAACATTTGTTTTGACATTTGATGTACTTCCCTTTGACAACCGTATCATGTACCTCATGTACTTCGAAATGGACACGGTTGGCATTTAAGATGACGTTACGTATTTTCGATTC